GATCATAACATAATTTCAATCCTTGTAAAAGTAATTAAATTCAAGTAGCTTTCAAAGAGTATCCTTGTGCTCGAATAGATTCTTGAGCTTGAGAAATCAGTCCACCAACACCTTCGAGTTGATCGAGATGCTCGCGAAAATCAATATGGGCATAACATGGCTGCGTGGTATTGGAATTATCGTCTCCTTTATCTCGTATATTGGCTTCTATTTCCAATTTTCGAGCATGTTCGAAACATTCTGACGCATCGAATGGCGCATTGTTTTGCAAATACTGTTTTCCTTGTTCAATAAAGTAAGCAGAAATATCTCGTGTAAGTCGAACTAATAGATCGATATGAAAATTAAACATTTTCAAGATCTTTTGATGCTTGTCTGCCCAGTCAAGATGTAAGAGAATATTGTGAGTAAAGACGTAAATATTTTCTATGAAAGAATATCGAAGTACGATTTCCGGTACGAGGTACCGGCCGACTGTACCCGAGCAGATGATGAAAATTTTATTGTTTTTGTTTTTTTTTGATTTCACGCATTGCATCATCAGCCGTTCGTACAGTGATGAGTGGTAGATCATTCGAACGCAGTCGCTCTTGTCCTTCATAGAAAATTGCCATATCGATGGGGTCCAATTCTGGTTTCGGTGTTCCTGTAGTTGTGTCGTTGAATTCATCTTTCATAGGCTGGTAGCTATTATTATTTTCGAAAGAAATATCGCACCAGATGATAATTATCGGAGGCAGAGTCATCGCAATGAATGAATTCTGAAATAAAATACAGAGTGTCGTGAAAGTTTGTATAGGAAAAAAATCACGAATAAGTCCTCAGAAATTCAAACGATTACCATCACGTTTTTTACAATTTCATATAATGGTTCCTACAGTTCTATTCAGTGTATTTCAGATAAAATACCTGTTTTTATTAGTATTGAAATCAAAATAGACCCAAGTACTGATCAACTTTCAGTTACCTATGTTTATAAAATGAATATTATCAATCGACTTCAATCAAAAACATAATGCATGAGTATTGAATTAAAGCTGTCCTTCAATGATTTTGTGAAACTGTTATTGTAGCAAATCTATCATCCTCTTTCCAAAGATATGCGCAACATGATATGTTTGGGTTACGGCAAAATTATGACCGAACATAATTAATGTTTTTATAAAATCAAACTGTTCGTCTATTGACAGTGGAAGACATCAACTCATGGCAATGTGAGTCGATGAACTTGATATCACTCGAATTTATTATCTATGGAAATGCATAAAATGCAATATTTGCATATTTGCTTAGTAACAAATAGGTCCAGCTGGTAATAACCATCGGGAGAAGAAGAAAAATGATTCTATCAGTAACTCTATGTCATGTTCTTTCCGAATTTTTGAAAAACAGTTGGCAAATTTTCTTAAGTATTGGAGAGTTACTGATGCTTTTTTTTCATACAAACTTTAAGTAAACAGTATACATTACTCTTGATGACTGTCTTATATACATTAAGCGTCATAACTGATGACGGTAAGAAAAAATATGAAGGATAACTATTCTATAGTAAATAAGATAGAATGTGAATATTGACATTATTGGAAGACAAGTTCATTAATCGTAACCAGTAGTTTTTTAGAATCACACATCATACCTGATGGCAGCGAGAAAAAAATGAAAAAAATGTCAAACGGGTAGTTTCAATCCAACGGATCGATAATAATAATATTCTTTCTATTTTTCAAACGACTATTTTATATGAATGTACAAATTAGGAGAAAATCGAAGGACAATTGAAAAAGATAAAATGAGACGAAAACCATCTATATTACTATAGACTTCAATTAAGATAGCTTCCCTCTTCCCTGTGTATTTCTTACTTGAGACTATTATAGTCGGCTTTCTTTTCAACAGTAAGTATAGACTAAACTGCATCGCGTGATATATTAATCATATAGGACAAAGAAATCAAACAACAGAAAATACACTACAATATATACTTCTGGATAAAAAATAGCTATCGTTCATTGGTCAAGTATATTGTTACTTTAAAAATATAATTTAAAAACAAAATAATCATCTATTCTGATAGAGTTTGAAATTCTCTATCATCCAGTTTTTTTTGTCTAGCGTTACATTTATGTGTTGGAAAATATTTTATTGCTACGTAGGTACTCTCCTCTGCCTGCTCTAAAACAAGTTCAATTTGTTTAGTATTTCTTTCGTCGTTTGTTTTTAGAGTTCAGCATTATTGAGAGTATGAGGAGATATGAGAAGACATCATTACTTATTTGCAAAGATATTTCTATATTGATAATAAAGTAGAAATGAAAAGCAAAAGCGTCATTAGAAAATCTTTTTCTCTCTTTCCTATGGGAGCTATCTACTTTATACAGAAGTTATTCTCAAGGACTTTGACGCAAGGCTAGACAAGAATATAATGAATGATAGAGAATTTCAAGTACTATCAGAATTTATCGTTATGATTTTTTTAATTTTTATCAAATGAATGTATTTTCGATGCATCCAACTTTTTCTTTTTATCATAACTAAAGAGAAAGTAAAATATTCATATAGAGGGTAGTAGAGACTTTCAAACTCTATCATACCGAAAGAAACTATTATCTTTCTTTTTCATATCAATGTATCCTATACAATTAATATATCATGCGATGCAGTTTAACCTGTGCTCTTTTGTTATATACTAATTGTTAAAAAGAACACAGACTAAACTAGTCCAAAATAAGAAATACATGTGCGAGGATATCCACTGAGGTACTCAGTATATCAAGGGAAGAAAACAAAAAGAAAGAAAATACATGCATGCATATGGTATGTATCATCTATGCATGATAGCAGAGCAGAAGAAAGAAAAACAAAAATAACACATATAATTGACTTACCCTATAATGTTGACTGAATAATTTTCTGCAAGCAGTAATATAGAATGTAAATTGTTGTCCTACTTCGAAAGAGCATTTTTTTTTCTCGCTTCAATCATATATCGCGTCTGTCTAGAGAATAGTGCTAATTATGCATATAGTTTTCTTACGAATATCATAAGTGAGTGCATTCTTCATTGTTTTTTCCTGACACTAACATATTTATCTACATCTGTTACCTCCGCCTCAGATCATCTAATCATTCTTCTCAGAAGAACCTTTCTGCTACTGTCTAGACACTGTTAGAAAATTTTTTCTATTGTGTCGCTATTTTTGGTAGCTACTTAAAGAATGCTTTGATATTTTTGACTAATATATTCGAGTGTCGTAAGTCATGGACGTGCGTGATCCTTTTTTTTTCCTTTCTTTAACTGTCTGTAAGATACCAAGACGTAACAACGATATATTCTCCAAACACACGCAATAAACAAAACTATATAATGATAGAGAGTCAAAGAATACAATGCTGACATTTTTTCACGTAAAATACAATGAATAAGTAGACGTGGTTCACAACATTGTATGATTTATTTGTATTTTTCAGATTGTTTTATAATCATTCACTCAATGGCTAGTCCAGAACCAGGAAAAGATCGTATGTTGAATCTATATCAGGAGCTCCAAAAGTGGGCGAACAATCATAATGAAAATTCGAAGAAATTCAGCATTAAAGAGAACTCTTTTGATAATTCAGAGTTATTGTCTTCATTACAATCGAAAAATGTCGCAGCTGCCTCACCAATGCAATCTCAAGTTTTTATTGTTGTTGGATTAATATATCCATCAACGGAGCCTTTTGTAAATCATCTTTTGGAAGTGGAAATATGTTTTCCGTTTACATACCCACATGAATCTCCACAAGCCTATATGAGAACCAGAATTCGTCATCCGAATATCGAAAAAGATGGTAAGCAACAAATAATCATTCCTTTTCGCTTCTAATTTTTATCTCTAGGCAGAATTTGTAGTTCTCGTTTGGAAGCAACAAGAAAATCGAATTTTAGTTCGTTGGCTGACGTGATACAAATTGTTATCGATATTATTGAAAAACCTGAACGAAATCATGTAGTCGATGCTGGTGAGTTCTTTGACTCTTTTTTTTTTGTTTCTACATTCATGCTTTTCTTTATCCATTAGAAATGGGCTCGTTATATGACAAAAACATTACCGAGTACAATCAAAAGATGAAGGAAATGGTCACAAATCATGGCGTACCTCGACCTTAAACCTAAGTCTTTCATTCATAAATACCGAATAATAACTAATGCATTGATAGTATGAAAAATAAAATTACATTCATAAAGTTAGTTTTTTATTATAAAAAGGTTAGGCGTAAGTCAGTGGTATGCGTGTGATTGTGATTATTCTTTTCAACAGCAATCTATTTGCAGTTCGCTATTTATAAATTCGAGTATATTTGATAATAAATACTTTCGATTTTTTTAAGAATCATTTCTACCAAAGTCATTCACTGTAGCAGGCTTCTTGTTTGGTATTAAAGAAGGAACTGGCAGCTAAACTAAACAACATTTATGATTTCAAAAAGAAAATATTCTTCGAAATGAGAACCAAATTTTCTCAATCTTCATTTCCTTATATAGTTTTACAGATCTGAATCAAAATGATCAATTCGTTGTTGCAATCACTAATAAAATTTTCTATCAGTCGCTACAGATTTCGAAAGCTTTGAGAAACCGATCAAAAATACAACAAAAGAACATATATTTTTCTACGATTTCAAGTATATTAAAGAGAGTACAGTATTAGAAAAGAAAGATCATTTTTTGCTGTTTCTTAAGAACAATCATGGTAATTTATTCAGAAGGTGTAGTATCTCTATCACCTGTGCTTTTTTCCATAATTATTACATCAATCTATCGATTAAATTTCCATCCACAAGTTCTTAATATACCAACATGAGTAAATTCAGCACTACGATGTAAACTAATTGATCTCTCATTTCCTAAATCACTAATACCTGCAATCATTTTTCGAACACCAACTAATTCAGCTTCATGTGATAGAGCATTCAATAATAGACGGTCATCATGACCTTTGCCATGCATGTCTTTTTTTTTAGATAGATTTTTGACTCCATAGAGAAATGATAAGCAGCTCGTCAATCTGCCTTCTTCTGCTACAAGATAAGGCACATTATACTTAAGAACATCCTCACGTCGACTAGCCATTTGATCTATGATAGGTGGTGTAATTTCGAATGTACATGTACTTTTCACCACATAGCAACTGGTAGATTGCAGTAATGGCTGCCATATCAGCTTCGCGACTATGACGAATCGTTAACATCACCATTGTAAATAACAGACGACAATCTCACCCAGGTGATTCGATCCGACTGTCGGATTACGTCGGATTATATCGGAAAAATTACCGGATTTTAACGGATCCGACGGGAACTCGTCGGAAGTTGTCGGCGTCCTAGCCACAGGATTCCGACAGGAGGTTCCGGATGTCGGAATAATCAGGATCCTGCGAAATCCCTGAAACTCCGACACTTTCCGACATCCAGAACCACTTGTCGGAATCCTGTGGTTAGGATTCCGACAAATTCCGGCGAATTTCTATCGGATTCGACAGGGTGAATTCGACCTGGGCATATGATCGGTGAACAAAGTGTGGGTGTGGGTATCAGTGCTGGTATGGATGCTGTTCTTATGGTTCTCTACACTCACCAATGCCTACACCCAGGCCGAAGGCTGGGATGGCACTAATAAACTTTTCGATACAACAAAGATCGTTACGAGAAAGATCGAAGTTAAGTGCATTGTTGTTTGTTTTGTCAAATAGTCCATTAGAAAAAACCAATTTTATGGCGAAGACTATAAAAAAGTTTGATCTATTCTGAATAGAATCATGTCTCTATCTGCCATCGCATTCGTGCTCCTTCATATGTCGAGGTTCATTGTTTAATAACTGACTGCGAGAACAATACACGTCCAATGTGTATAATATTATTTACAATGAAAGGTTATATTATATGATGATACTTGTGTATGTACAGCATTTTTTCAACAAAATAAACAACAACCAGAATGGATAGATTGCCATGCGAACTATTACATTATATCTATCGATACATTGCTCAACCGTTAGATCTTTTACGAATGTCTTACGTCTGTAGAAGTTGGCAGTCTCTCATTATGGACGACGAATATTTTCTTAATCAATGGTTTTCTCGATCGCTAGAACGCTCGGAAGAAACAAAACTTATTGGCTTCGCTTATTACAGCAGCGGTTATGAACGACAGGATCTATGCAATATCGATCGCTCATTGTTTCCTATGAATCTTCGATCAAGTGAATGTAATTTTCTACCTTGGGCTGATTCAGGACATTTATGTGATTATGAAACGTCCTTTGAGAGTTGTTATCCTATATCTCTCTTTGAATCGTCACATTCTTTCTCTTTCTGACTCTTCTTACCTGATCAATGTGAATTAAATATACAAATTGGAAATTTTAAAGTCGATGGTGTGACTATCGTGCTCTGTGCTGATAAAAATTATCATTTCGACGAAGAGAAACGCTTATCAATTGCTGATCGATGAATTTATATTGTTTTGAACAAAATCGATTCACATCGCTATTATCGAATATGGATCGATGGACAATATGTTTCAAAACTCAATCAATATTATCTGTACTTCGATAAGATGGAGAAAGATTATTCTAATATTAATATGGTAATATTTCGCGAATTTGGTAATAAGACATTAGAAGCATCTAACAAACCGCGTATGGCCGATCTGAATGCTTTCAAACGATGCTTGACACTTGTCGAAATTTGAACTATTCATCAACAGCAAACATCAATCAAGCAAGTTAAAGTTGGTACCTATATTAACAGCAACAAAATACACAACATTAAAGTGGACTAATTTTGTAAATACAGCCATTTCCATATATAAATTCATTTTATTTGTTGTTTCTTGTATTTTTGATACTATTTATTTGCTATTTTTTCTAATCTGACTGATTAAAAATAAATATATAGTTAATACATTTGAAAAAGAGGCGGTAGGTAGATCGAAACCATGGTTAGATATTGTGCACTAAAACCATAAAATAGAAATGGCGGTAACATACGTAGAAAACAGAATATCATTACTGTATAGAACACATTTATCATAATCGACTTCGAGTATCATAGCTAATACGGATAAATAAGTCGATTCAGTTGTTGATACTACTTACACTACCTATAAGTATTAAAATCAGACCAAGTTTCCATGAATATGGTAAGCAGTACTTTCTCAAACATTATAGCAGAAACTGGCATATGTAATACATTAATAAAAAAAGCTTATTTTTAGAGAATGCTTTCATAAGATATAAATCGATTATCTTTAAAGACAAATGGGAAAAAATCTAGCTATTCAAAGAAATTTGAACGATAACTTCGATAGATATAATTGAAATCTCATATGAAAGTTTACCAGAATGTCATAAATTTATAAAAACAAACCTACATCATGCATGCGGGATGTGAGTGTGCATGTGGGTATTGTTGTGAGTATCGATGAGGAGAAGAACCACACTCACATCCACAACTATCTATTTAATGAAAAAATTTTCATGATGACTAAATCCAAATAAACACCCTAATTTAATGATTTCCAGTTTTCTTTTACTGATAAGATTAAAAAAAGACTTTATTGCTGTAGTTCGAATCTCAGAACAAATTCTATAAAAACTTTAAACAAATTTATAAAATATTATTCTAAGATTTTAAAATTCGTCCTGTTTGTCTATCGAAAGAGTTAAATTAAGATCAGGATAAAATGCTAGTAGATTATTCTGTTCTCAAAATTTATCGTGTACCGAACAGAAGTCAACGACATCTTAAAAAATCCGCCTATTTATTTTTTGTAGAGATTTTGCTCAATATTGTTATTAAAACCCTGTTATGATCTATAGAATTACAAAGCTTAACACATCCTGAGGGTGTGGGTGTGGGTGTGGGGTGTGTGTGGGTGTGGGGTGTGTGTGGGTGTGGGGGTGTGTGTGGGTGTGGGTGTGGGTGTGGGTGTGGGTGGTGTGAGCGTTGGTGTGGGTGTGGGTGGGTGTGGCTGGATGTGGGTGGGGGTGGAGATATGTGGGAATTAGTGCTAATCTTGTCTTCATCAGCACCCACACCCATACCCACCCACACCCACACCGCACCACCCACATCCACACCCCACCCACATCCACACCCACACCCCACCCCACACCGACACCCACTCACCCACACCCACACCCACACACTCACACCCAAATCGAATTGAAAATTAGCTGTCTTACCAAAATCGATCATTTATCAGATAACAGGATGATATTGAAAACTAACTGAATCGATTAATCTACTTTCTTTTTACAGATGACTAGTTATGCGACTTTAAAAATAGATTTACAGATTTTGCTGATTTTGTCATTTTGAAGAAATCTCTGTTGGTCTCCTTATATTCAAGTGTCATTTATTGATTTATTACAGTTATATTGTTTGATTGAAATTTCCATAATTAAATTAATATGTATAAATCTTGTTTTGAAAACATTATTTATTCTTCATTTATTTTCACATGATGTACTTTGTCTCAAGGTCACATGTTTCTATAGTAAAACTTTAACTATAATGAAATACAAATATTTGATATTCATGCTTACTGGTATTGGATGAAAAGACAAGAACGCTATAATTTCTCCTTTCGAAAGGTAAATGAAAGATTGAAGAGTAATACAGGTAAGGGTCTTTGCTTGATGCTTAAGAATGGCATGAAACTATACAAAAAGAATATTCTTTCATTGATGATGATTAATATTTATTTTATAATTTTTTTGTGATTTGATAAGCATAAAATGTAACTAACTTCCGACTCAATGTATGTAAAATGATTGAAAGAGTAACTTGTTGATTGTAATAATAACAGATGAAAACAATTCTCATGGATAATATAAAACACTATTAAAAATAAAACGAATGAGTATAAAATGATACGGAAGAGATTTTTTGATTTACAGCTAAAATAAAAAAGTTCTTCATTACAGTTCTATATTCGTTTATTTTAATCGTAGTAGCACATAGTTGCGATCAAGATTGTCATTGATGAATCGACCTGATAAGTGCAAATTGATTCGTAACATTCCAGTGTGAAAATTGCCAGAAAATCGATCTGGTATTACTTTGGTTTGGCTTGAGAATACATCGTGTTCTTCATGCCATGACAATCAGATTCGATTGCATAATTTTAGCAATCGATGTTTTATTGTTTATTATTCAAATATATCGAAATGCGTTAAATACTTGAAACAAGCTCGATCACATGAATATGTTATTACTGTTATTGTATCTTATCCAATAGAAACAATTCAACGCATAATTCATCGATTTCAACAGCATCGTGTTATTCAAACAATATTCATTGTTTATTCCGATGAAAATACAGCTCATCATTTGCCATCAATAATTGATAATCTTCATATCTTTCAAACTCAAGAATCAATGTTTGAACTTTTAGAAAAACGAATTGAACAAGTTGAGGAACAAAATTTAAGTGGTGGTTTATTTACAACTTTCAATAGTAAAGAAAAATCTCTGAAAGATGTTCAAAAGGATTTTGCAATATTTGTTTGGACTCATGTATTTAAAGGTTAGTGTTTCGAAATTGTTCATCAAAAAATTATTTTTGTTATATATTTAGTTCTATTGATGAGTATGCCTCGTGGCTCTCTTCAAGCTAAATATGACATGTTAAGGGAATGCCGAGCTTATTATCGAAATGATGTTGTTCAATTAGCTCAAATTGATGAATTTGAACGTAAATATCAATCGAAAGATGCCATTCGTTGGTATACAAAGCCTGGATTCTTATTTTATATCGTTAATAGAGCTTTACCTAGTCAAGATGTTTGGGTTTTGTATACATGTCGTTATTTTATTGTTGATTTATGTTGTTGTCTGGAAGAAGTTTCCAGTTTGCAATCTTTTGCATCGGTCCGTCTTTATCGTGAAGCAAAACTTAATCGAGATGAGCTCGAACAACTGCAAGTTGGCTCCCTTGTATCAACTAATGCATTTTTTTCATGTTCATCTGATCGTAATGTAGCAGATATGTTTATTGGTATTGATCTTATATCTGATATATGGTCAACTCACAATCGAAATGCATGGCAACAGTTCGTTTTATTTATCATTGATGTCAATTGTAAAACATCTATGAATATAGTTGTAGCAGATGTCAGCAATGAAAGTGAATTACCAGATGAAAACGAAATGATTTTTAACTTTGGATCGACTTTCATTATTAATAAAATTAGTTTTGATAACAATAAAGGTATATGGTTGATTCAAATGAGTTCATCTTTGGACCATATTCGAATCAATGATCAATACGAGAAATATATTCATACACGTCTCCAACACACCAATCCGACTATATTGTTCGGTCATTCTCTAGCTAATATTAGCTGTGATTACGTTCAATCAATGAATTATTTTCATCGTTTACTAAGAATATTACCCATTGATGATGTTGAAAGACCCAATATTTATTATAATTTAGGACGTATTTATCGATTTATTGAGAAATTCGAAAAATCTCTTGAATGTTTTCGATGTGCTCAATTACTCATTCGTCTTCTGTTACCAGAGAGAATGTTTGATTATTGTCGTATTCTAAGTAGAACGGGTATTGTCTACTCATACTTGGAAGATTCAGAACGAGCATTAAAAGTACTTAGACAAGCTTTGGTACTTCATAAGAAATCATTTCCAGTAAATCATACAGAAATTCCATTTCATTTGAACCGTCTTGGTTATGCTTATTTCAAAGCCAAACAATATAATCATGTACTTTCGGTTCTCAATAGTGCTGAGAATTTTCTCCAGACAAAAATGCCTGTGAATCATCAAGAATACACAAAGACTTTGCATTCAATAGGTTTAGTTTATCGTTGTCTTAATGATGATAAAAGAGCATTGATTTGCTTTCAAGAAGCACTACGCAAACGGCATTCATTACTTGGTAAAGATCATCCTAATCTTGCATCTACTTATTATCAGCTGAGTCTCATACATAAAGATCGCGCTGACTATGAAATTGCACTTGATTATGTTAAAAAATCTCTAAATATTCAATTAATCAAATTGCCACAGTTTCATTCGGAACTGAAACAATCACAAGAACTTCTTCGATGTCTTCAGCAGCATCAATAAAAAAAATTCGAATTAATTTTTTATCATTGAGATTATAGTTCATGTTTGTCTATTAATGAAAACAGACTTCATCATATTTAATGATGGTCCTCATTGGAGTTAAACCTTCATTCTAAACAATATTAGTGTCACGCTGGTATTTCTACAGTCATAACCTAGACAGAAATCATCGAAACGGTTATTTCTTCAGTATGTACAATGATATTGAATATGAATAAGTGAATGTGAAAGATTATTGTCAACAAGAATACTTTAGTGTGTTTGAAGATGACCTTTAAAAATGAGCATGTAAGACATCCTAAGTCAAATTTCAATTTTTTCCTCGAAGAATTTGCTCTCACATTGAGTTAAGTAGAACTTGTCGAATTTTTTCCGAATTATCATGAGTCCATATAGCAATAATGAGTTTAATGTAAGATTTGTATAATTAAAATCAGAGAAAAGAGTGTGTTATTTAGAAGTAGTAGAGCGAATCTGCATAAACTTTTAAACAACTACTATTAAACCTTTACACCAAAATAAATCCGAACAGTGTTTATATCTGAAAAGTTGACAATTGCTCGTATCAAATTTTTTTAAATTAATGAATCCATAGTCGGATAATATCTCACTAAAGCATTCCACGTTCGAAGCTTTTTCATGTTGTTGACTAGATCAAAGATACAAGTTTGATTTTTACACAAACCGAGAGTATCTTGTATGCGATATCGATTGGTCATTGGTTCAATGCTATGCATTGCTGCTTTTCGTACCATTAGCTAAATGATAAGCAATCTAGGGTATGGGTGTGTGGGTGTTCTTGTTCGTGTTAGTGTGACTTTCATTAACACCTATACCAACACCACCACACCCTCTTTCCAATGGTAATAGCTTCAGAATTCAAGCAGTCTTTGTTAAAAAGTTGTCAGCATTGTGCCCGGTGGCCTTCTTGTAAAACGACGATAACAAAAATCAACACTATATTGAGTAAAACAGGAGTCGAAACAATTAAAAAAAAGAATTCAAATGCTTCAGTGCTCTATAGGGCCCATATACGAGACATAATGTTGTTCAGGCGACTAAACAAGTCTCGATATTTAGATATGATGTCGTAGCACACAAAAAGCAGTATAACTGACACCTTTAACTTCGATTTGAAAACCATAAGTTGGTGCTGTTTCTTCTAAGGTCTTAACATCATCATTTCAATTGTCTGCTATATTGAACTGATTATCGATAGCACAAAATGCAAACGGTAACTATCATGATTTTCTGTTCTGTCTAACTATACTACCTAATATTGTTGTTTCAGGGTGTGGGTGTGGGAGCGGGGTGTAGTTTTTCTCATTATTTCCACCGACCCACACCCACACCCCACCCACACCCTTTCTAATACGTTATAATCTAATCAATTTTGAAGGACATAAATAGACAACTCTGGTTAAAAGGTATCTAGTATACTTTGTATTTTCATGTATTTCTTTGTATCTCAATATAATTTTAAAAAAGTACAAATTTTACATGTCGAAGAGATGTTCATTACATCTTCTGATATGAAATAAACATAATTACAAAAATGTGAAGAGGACATATTCAAATATATAAAAATATGGATTTGTAAAATATGATATCAACTCTTGACATTCATCAGTAATTTTCAACAACTCTTGGCATCATAACTCAAATGGAAAACAACAATAAGAGCAATGACAACTTACAGTTATATTGATATGAATTTACTAAATAGTTGGTACTGTTTTCATAAATGTGATGCGTTAGATCACATTTAACTGTCAATAATAAAGAAAAAAATATAGCAAAATAATTCTTATTCTACTATTCAATTGATATTCTTAAAGCATATGATTATTGTAAAAGATGGTATAAATGGTCAAAAGTTCTCTATATATTATGTTTCTCTTGTGTTTTAGTTTGAATACGAAACAGTCTAAACGACTTGTTCGAACAATTCAATCGAAGAAAAATCATCTGTTTAAAAGTTTTAGAAACTAGTCCAAACCATGGTTAATATTTTTCTCAAGTAATTTGAATAATTTTTCGAAACATAAAAAGTATCATTTTCATGCAAATGTCGACAGGTTTAGAAATGTTCAAGTTACAAATAGATATATTTAGTTGGGTTTTTGTTTTTGTATTTCGAGACAGGATATAGATTGTACAAAAAGCAATGACTTGGAGAACAAATCAAGTAATTGGTTTTAGAAAAGTGGTGGAATTTATATAAAGGCAGGAAAATTTCAATCAAAGATATAATTTTGTAGGCAAAAATTTTTGAAGAAAATCACGTTTTATTTGCGGTCACAGTTTTCTCGGTGAAAAAGAAAAGTTACAGCAGTTTTTTCCAATGAGTTGAAAATATGGTTTGCCTATCTATGATTCTAGATTAATCTTTCAGTTACTTTTGATTACATATAGACTAATCAAGCCTTACTCTGCTATTTGGATTGTCTAAACCCATCTCAATTGGTGATTGGATCGTAGTCTACCGCCAAGTGTCGAATCATACACTCGACTCCATTTTTCATCTCCTTTTTTCCTTGCTTTTGTGTCCCACTGAATAGTCTGGACAATGGAATGAATGTAAACATGTTGTGGACTAATCCAACCATAGTTGAAAGAAATTTCTCATAAAGACAATCAATCATAATGGATAGATATGATATTTCATATGTGACGTGACGAGTAATATACATATCCGACTAGTCAAGTAGGACATCCTCAGTTATTGTTTGCTTACGTGTAGAACACCGTATATATATATATATATATATCCATAACTACTGACAAAACGAACTCACTATTTTGATAAAATAATGTCTTCATCGTGTACGATCAACACATGCAAACGTAAATCAAGAGCATTATGTCATTGTTGCAGCAAGAAACTTTGTCTTGATCATTTGAAAGAACATAATGATTTAATTCATTCTCAACTAAATCCTCTTGTTGATGAAATCAATACTCTGCATAATCAGATGTCGGCATCAAATATTGATGAAATTATTGATGAATGTCGTCAAAAATTGGATAAATGGCGTCATGATTGTTATACTCAAATTGATCGTATTTATGAAGAAAAATGTCATGAACTTCAACAACGTTGTATTCAAGAAGCTGGTCAAAAACGAAAAAAAATTCATCAATTGAAATTAAAAATCAATGAACTTATTCAAGAACAAGAAGCTATACATACCGATATTTTTTCATTGAAAGCAACTATTAATGATATCAAACGTGATGTTAACCAATTTGAAGAGAATGGCATTTTAGTTGATGTTCATCCTTTAATTATTGATCAAAATTTAATTTATATTGAACAATCGACATCGAATGAAATTAATATATCAACTCTTTCATCTGCTTATCGATCAATCAATTGTTTTCATGATAATTGGTCTGGACTAGTTAGCAACAATCAATTTTTACTATTAGATCAACATCCAAATTTATGTTTGTTTAATAAAGCATTAACTCTTTTAAAACAAATTCCATGGGAATATGATCGTATTTCTGATATGTGCTGGTCATCGATATTAAATAATTTTATTATCATAACAAAAAACAATGAAGTTTTTCAAATTAATGAAAATCTAACATCAATTGAACATATTCAAACAATTAAGAAGAAACAATGGCTATCTTGTACATGCTCAGATGCATCTCTATTTCTAAGCACGAATGATTTTGGTTCTGATATTTTTCAATTCAATCTTTTATCATCGTTCGATTTTATTAAACAATGGCAACCTCCTAAAACTTGTAGCTACAGCGAACTTATCCATAATATTGCTTGTAATAATGGAACACTTGCTTTAACGATATCAAATAAATATGATAAATTAAATCGCATAGAACTTCGATCTTTATCAACGTTCAAAAAACTTTGGTCACTCAAATTTAATTCAACATACATTATTGGGCAACGGTCATATCGTGTTTGTTTACTCAGAAATGACGAATGGCTTGGAATCGATCATAATACTTCATGTCTTTTACATGTTAGTAAAGATGGGAAATTAAAGGCAACGCGTTCATACCTATCGAGAGCTCATAATGCTGTTTTATTTGGTTCGAACATATTGGCTATTAGGACAAAAAATCATCTAAAGTGTTATAGAGTATAATGATATAACTGTATTTTTGTAAATTAAAGTAGATAGAACTCTATTTTTTATTCATGATTAGTAAATATTTCGTCAAAGCTTTGTATAAAACAAATTTTTTTTTTGCCATATAAATCTTTTGTACAAAGTAAGTTATTTTTTCTATTAATTCTTCATGAATTTCTCATATAGTAATAAACAAAAATAAGGTCTTCATAAAGAGTGTGGATGTCGGTCTTCGTGAATTTCATTTTTGTTTTACAAAATTTTAATTTTGCAGTTCTTCAGTAAAAGTCAATTTCGTTCTCAATAATGCTCTTTTTCACAAGAAATACTTCAATGCCAGATACTCTTCTGATTTTCTTTTAAATTAGATAGTTGTTTCTTTTTGAGTGTAGATCTAGAAGTGGTGGCGTGAGTGTGATTCTTTAGTTTATTTCCACCCACACCCACACCCATAAATTTAATTAGCAAATTGTAATGAAATTTTTTATGCTGATATAGGTCTTGATTAATTCATGAAAATGATCATATTAATATATATGATGCTTAACAAAAATGTTCATTTTGCAAGTGTAAGAAGAGGCAAAGTTAAATATACAATGTGGTCAAATAATACGCATTACTGATCATTATTAGGATGATTCAGATGTTTTTCTTCATACAACATTAAATCATATTAAGTATGCACTTATTAATGGTGATCATGGAATTATTCATATATTTGATTTATATATTTATATAACAAAAGTTAAAGTAATAGAAAATATGATGAAGTAAAATTTTTAAATTTCTTATTTCAATTTCTTTTCAAAAATCTTTGTCTTGAAAATAAATGATGCAAAAACAAGATTTGGCCTAGCACTTGAATATAGAACTATTGATGTAAATTATTTTTGGTTTCTTTTAAATAGTTTCAATTATCTGTTTTGAAAAATGATGAAAATTGGTTTGAAAAGTTTCGTATTGTTTAGCTGAAGTACGAAAAGATGTTAGTAGACAATTTCAAATTGCAATCTTATTAGGAGATGTTGAAGAACGGATGAAATTTCTTAGACAATGCCATCAAAGTAATATTTTATATTTTTTCTCTATGAGATTGATTTATTTTATGTCTTTTTTTATACAATAGAATCATTTGATGAAAAAGTAATTTATTATGGATAAAAAATACTCTCATGTGAATACTTCGTCTGAGAGAGGTTTAAAAAAATTAAAGCATTTTAGGAAGTTTTATTTTTCGTTTTCTAATATCTTTAATTGAAAGTCTTGAAAACTAGTTATAGGTTTTCATGTAAATATACCAATTTTTTGAGATATTAAATAGTTTCTAAACAATCTTTAATTGTATTCAACACATCATTTATCTAAAGAGTTTTCTGTACTGTTGCATAAAGAAGTTTATGATGATTCTCGAAGTTTATTGCAACATTGAATGATAACATGTTTTTTTTGTAAAAGACATTTCATATAATCACCATGTCATACTTAGTTTAGTTTATTTTCTCTCATTGATATTCATTAGAATGTACACTGCCGGACAAAAGTTTAGGACTTTTTATTTGTCTCAAGTTTTGTTTTGTTCATAGCTCGGTCAAATCAAATCGAACCACAATTCTGAAAATATCGTTTTGTTCAGTTTTTGATGCTCTTTCCGATGGTGTGTGAATCAAAGAGTTTACATTTAATTCGGCGGAGTTATTCTCTTTTTCCATGTTTTTAGGCCTTCGCACTAAAACGCGATTTTCAACTTGAAGACACGGGCTAAATTTAAATCTTTTTTTACCGTATGAGAGCTCATGAAATTCTGCGTCGATCCATATGACTTTTACATCAAAAAAGAAAAACCTCTAGGTCAGGAAAGTCGAAACACTCAAAAGGACAATAACCCGATTTCACAAGAAAAACGTTTTTTATTTTCTTCGCGAATGGAGAGTGATACAAAGCTCGTTCAAACATTGATCTATATACTCTGACGTACCCTCTACAAGATGCAATAGATTAGAAGACTTGATTTCACCACTTTGATTTTCGCGACCGAAAACTTCTTTTTGGAACGGAACTGAGTTATCGTTCTTTTGCGTATTTCGACTTTCCTGACCTAGAGATTTTTCTTTTTTGATGTAAAAGTCATATAGATCGACGCAGAATTTCAAGGGCTATCGTACGGTAAAAAAAGATTTAAATTTAGCCCGCGTCTTCAAGTTGAAAATCGCGTTTTAGTGCGAAGGCCTAAAAACACGGAAAAAGAGAATAACTCCGCCGAATCAAATGTAAACTCTTTGATTCACACACCATCGAAAAGAGCATCAAAAACTGAACAAAACGGTATGTTCAGAATTGTGGTTCGATTTGATTTGACCGAGCTATGAGCAAAACAAATCTTGAGACAAATAAAAAGTCCTAAACTTTTGTCCGGCAGTGTAGATTAAAAACAAAATAAGAAGACTTCATATTCTGTTTCAAAAAAGGAATAAGCCGGTAGACTCACAGTTTAACAAAGTCATTATGGGGTGTGGGTGTACATGAATATCGCCTCTATCGACACCCACACCCACACCCTCACCCACACCCACACCCACACCCCACACCCACACCCACACCCACCCCATTTTTATCTTCAATAATTCTTATTAAACATAAAATTCTTTATACAATTACTAGTTGAATTTCAAAAAAATTGAAAATAAATCTCATTGAATAATTTTGAGAATCATTGTATATGCAGATGAAAACTTTTATCGAAAAATCTTTAGTGAATATCGAAAAAAATATCTTGGTAATCAATTTTTACCAGAAAAAAATGGGTAATTTGAATATTGGACCAAAAGAAATTACAGGTTCAATAAGAAATGATAATGGTCATATTCAAACATTTGATGATCCACGTCGTTTTATTACAACATATCAAATGAAGTATGAAAATAAACAAACTTTATTTATTCTATATTAATTAAACTATTTTTCTTTTTTCTTAAGTCATTTTGATATGAATCCTAAAGGACGTGATCGTGAAGGTTATGTTGCTGGTGGTATACAAAAACCACGATCAAGTGGTTTTTCTGAAGATACAAAAATATCAAATCCATTAGATAATTTTCGTGACGAACGTATTACACATTATCATCTTGATCCATATCAAGTCAGGTAATACTTTTTTTTATTTTATTAGAACAATATGCAACAAAATAAATAAATAAATAAATAATTTCATATTTTTTAGAAGTTTACGAGCACGTGATCCATTTTTTGATGATACAACACATGATAATAAAGGTCGTTTA